AATAGTTAACATTTCATAGCAAATAAAAACACACACAAATAAAAGAGTTCAAAGAGTTCAGTTAAGTTTTATTAAAAGCCAAGCAAACATTAAAATACTGAAACAGAAAACCTTTTTCCAACCCCTTTTTTGCTCCATTTTGTACAAATCACAGTTGTTCAAAAATATTACAAACGATTCAGTAAAACTTTTTTTTTCTTTATTCTTTTTTGCAACAGCAGCAAAACATTCTGATTTTATATTTTAAAAGCCCTTAGTAGTGTGTATGGTGTGTGTGTGTGCTTTTTCTGGTTCAGAACAAGAACAATAATTACAGAACAGGTATCAGAAACAATAATCAAGAAGTTAAAAAGAAAACCACAAAGTGCAAAACAGCTTTAAATAGTCACAGATTTGAAAGAGGAAGAGAGGTCAAGGGTAGGGTCAACAGTCAGTGACACCTACCTCACCTCAAGAAGACAAAAAATGGCAAGGACACCTCACCCCAAGTGGAAAGAGGGACAGCGTCTGCCAAAGGGCATACAAGTGCTCCACTATAATTGACAGATGTTGTTCAGTAATACGGCCCTTTTCTTTCATGGAGATGAAGGTGGATTTCAGAGCACAGAAAGGAAGTTGGTTGGAGAGCTCTGTTGAAACAAAGAAACTAACAAGGGCTTGAAGTGGTCTCTGCCTATGACCAGAGGTCAGATTGTTAATTTTACAAGCAGTAAGATGTGATTAACCTTTCCAGTTTATTACAAATATTGAGTGTTTTCATAAAATAAAAAAAATCAGACAATCACAATAACAGCTCTCTGGTATTAGTATTTTGCAAAAGAAAACACCTAAACCAAAGTCATATTCCAAAAAGAATGTTGTGTAACATATCTCCCCTGTCCTACACCAATTTATATTACCTTTAGCCTTGTAAAAATAAAAAAATAAAACCCTGACCTTCAGTTGACTGTAGAGGGTGCAAGTGTGCCTCTGACTCTGTTAATGTGCATGTGTTTACATTCACTCTCATCCAAATGCTTATAATCACTGTTCACAACAAGCACGGGTTTCCACTCAGCTCAGCACTATCAAAGAGGGATGAAAACATCTAAAATGTTAGGGGGGAAAGCATAAAAATATTTCACATCATCACTCAAAGAACAGAGGGTATTGCTACATGCTGGCCACAGGCATGCAGCAATAGGCCTACAGTGGTCTGATGGCTGTCAGCTAAAGTTTGTGGTGTTGTTTGTGTGTGTGTGTGTGTGTGTGTGTTAGTGCACTACAATTACCTTGATCAAAACTAAAGGCAGTGACCTCTTCAGAAAGATTTTTTTTTTCAATTAAAGGCACGGTAACACAACAATAGACCACAATTCTCAAGTGCTCTCACGTTTCTTTTAAACTAGTGGGATTCTAATGCTGAACTGTTATTAAATAAATAGAACTACAACCACAATGTGTCATTAATAATGAACATGATAAACATTTAGTATAACAATAAGTATCTGTAAGGGTTTTGGATGGACTTTTTAAAAGTTGTAATAAGGGCTCAGATTTTTTTAAATTATTAATTTTTTTCAATAACATGATGAAAGTGCATGATAATTCCTTATTAATGAAAGCTACTGTTATTCATAATTACATACAAGTTAGCGCTTAGACCATTCCCATGCACATCTTGCCTGTAAACGTGCACCGGTAAATACTTTACAATTTGTTAAATTGAAAGAAAATCCACAAAGAATATAATTTGAATCAAATTTTAAGCTAAAGTGCATATTTAGCAAGCAGTTATACTGTCTTTCCTGTTGTTAGTCACTAAGTCAATCTCTCAATTTAAAACGGTTGTTCACCCAAATATGAACATTCTGTCGTCATTTACTCACCCTGACGTCATTTCAAACTTGTATGACCTTTTTTTCCCCTGTGGAACATAAAAAACATGTTTTGAAAAAAATGTTTGTCCATACAATAAAGTTGAGTTGGATGCCTTTGACTTCATGGATGCCACACACTTCTTTTGTGTTCTTCAGAAGAAATAAATTCATATAAAACATGTTGAAACAACAGGAGGGTGAGCAAATGACAGAATTTGCATTTGGGGTGAACAATCCTTTTGAGGGCTAATAGACCTTTCTAATACTGTTTATTTGAAATCTACTAAACCACCTAATTTCAGCAGAAAAACACATCACATGTCCTTGAAGTCAATGAAGGCATATTCGATTAAAGCACAAGGTACAAAGACTTTGAGCAACCGACATAAAAGTCTTGTAAGTATGAGGGATTTTTTTTTTTTTATGTAAGCACAAAATACGTAGGGCCATAAGGAGCACCTTTTTAATGGAAGAAACCATTCCATGCTACAAAATGTTTTCAAAAGCCGTAGTTTAGAAACAGTCAATGCCATGCACATCAAAGGCAGAGCAACTCTAAAATAAAAGTGCAAAAGCAAATAGTCAAAGAACAAAAAGTGCTAACAAGCCCAACAACACTTTCCATCCCAACAAGCATGCTGATGTGTTCTCGGATTGTTCTTCTTTAACTCTAAGGGGCAGACAGGAAAGCTGCGATTAAGTACATAATTTATCGCAGAGCCAGTCTGCAAATACACACTAAGGTCTTACATTCGTTATTTTACTAATTATTAAGCCTTTAGGCATAGTGCGGCATCTATAAACATTCATTTATTTGTCTGCCCCTATAAATACAGCATCTTAGTGGGATGAACCTACAAAAGTGCCCCTACGGGTGAAGATGGTAGCATACAGCCATACAGCATCTGCTCTCTGTTTCCCTCTTTTTTTGTAATTTATTTATTATTTTGTGTGCAGATCGGCCTGTCTGAGCACATGGGCTCTGCATGTCTATTTTTGTAGCTGTTGATGATTTCAGCTCGTCTGGTGTGAAAAGCAGGGTGCAGCCTTGAGGAAGCGAAATCAGAAAGCCAGAAATAGAAAAAGGGTGGCATGGAAAACTTAAAATGTCTCCGATTTCTCACTCACCTCCAAAGTAGTTATTAAAAACACTTTTGTTAAAAGGCACGAAACAGGCAAAACAAACATGCTTCACCGAGAAATACTTGAATGTAGGGAAAGTGTAACAATGGTCGTAGGCACTCATGTTTTCAGATGGAAGGCTGTCGAGACAGACTCTAGCAAACGGATGCTAACAACACTTCACAGCGCATGCACGTCTGAAAGAGGAACCAAACCGAGAGTGGCTGTTAGCATATCACTGTCAATTTAACCACAAAACCTGTTTCAAAGCTTGAAATCGAAAGCTTTTCAATCAAAAAAGAAGGATACACTTTTGATTTACAGCTTATGTTGGGATATTCTGTTATTAAGATAAAGAGGCGGTAACACTACACTTTTCCTTCCATTCATACGCATGCAAATGTTGGATACTGGAAACACAACGTTCCAAGTTTGGTGAACTCTGACCTGCAAATCTGTATCATGTTTAGACGTGACCAATAGAAGATCATTACGTCATGGCTTGACAGCTTAGTGGAATTAAACAAACACAAACTTTAAATTTGCAGGTTCGCAGCACTGCAGAATTGTTTTTTTTTTTTTTTTTTTAAAGACAGCACATAGCGTGACATCACATCACAACTGTTGCTCAAAGTCTAGTGTAACCGCCCCTTAAAGATATAATGGGTGAATGGTTGAACGCTGTGACATTTAGCAGGTTAATCCTGAGCACCGATTGTATCTGCGCATGTAAAGTGCAAAGTGAAGCATCACATTGCAACGTATCAAACACTACAGGAAGTGGATCGATAGTTTCTGCCTCAGTTTGGCTAACTGCAGAGGTAGCGGAGCAGAGGAGTAACAGAGGGGAGTGGCGAAGGAATACCAAACATTGCAACCTACTTTTTGGTTTGCCAATAGCTAAGATTGAAGTAGTGCTACAAAAATGAGTGCATTTCACAAGGATGTGAAGATCCGAAACAGGATTGACAAACAAATGAGTAGCTAATACTTTCGAAAGCAGGGTAAACTCAGAAGGCATGGGCGTCCCCCAGTGGTGGAGGTGAAAGGCAAGCAAGTGGAGGAGCTTGCTAGTGGTCATATCACAAAGCTCAATCTACAGAACGTCATATAACAGCTGTGACTGTTAATACTCTCCTGGCAGTGGTAAAATAGCCCTAATTTTGTAGTTTACTTGCTGTCAAGTTTTTGTTTCTGCAGATTTTCGTAAGGCGTTTGTGTTTGAATGAGTTGTCTGTGTGTATGTCTGTCTTTGGTGCTGGCCTGGAGTTTTTTAGTGAGTGACAGACCTGAACTACACACCCCTTCTGTTCTACCACATGAGCAAATTTTAGTAACAGGACAAGCAATCTGAAAAACAGTTCTTTAGTAGGCAACACAATTGGTATTCAGAGCCAAATATGGGGCAATGGAAGATCCAAAATGGAGAATTTTTTTTAGTGAGAATGTAGGCAAGGGCAATAACCCCTTTATTTAATTTTTTTAAAATATATATATATATCCCTGCCGCCATTTTAGTTGCTAGTTGTATTCAAAGCTAAGCTATGTTTCAGCTTGTAGGCATTGAACATGACGGTTTTCCCAGAAATAGGTCTCACAGAGAAAAGCTCAACACAGCAGCACCATGCAGCATCCGTGTGCCTGGGCGCCAGCGCTCAGACGGGGTGCTGGTGTGAGTGTGTGTGTGGTCTTGTATAATAATAACAGTCTTAAGAGGCGAAAGCAGGCCACTGCAATGATGGCGTTCCCTATGTGATGCTGTGGCGAGACCTGTTGCATTCGCACAGTAGAACATGTAACATCGAGAGTGAGAAAGATTTGAGACTTTCTCCGAGCCGTCTCCCATTTAATGACACATACGCTTTGAGCTCTCGTGGCGGGCAGCCCGCTAAGGCCCAACGCGGGAGGGAAGGTTAAAGCTCAGAGGCAAAGAAGACCCAGACACACTTCCAGCAGTTGGGATGGATGCACAGAAACAGGGCTCCCCAGGCTTGGTTATATGCCTCTGGACTGAGATGAGGGAGAGGGGTACAGGGGGTTTGAATGGATGGATGTAGGCAGACCTTCAGGAAATGTGGGGTGCTGAGGAGGATGGATGTCTCCAGAAGCACCAGCCGCGTTTGGTGTGCTGCTTGCGTAAGATCTCCTCCTCGCGCTCTCGCTCTTTTTGAGAACGGAGGTAGCGGTCTTCCTCCTTCAGGAACCAGACAGGGGGCCAGCGATGCTTCTCAAAGTGTTTCTGGTTTTCTGGAAGAACAAAAGAGCAAGATGAAGGAAATACAGTGGAAAAATAATTTTCTTGCTCAGTATTTGTATCTTGTTTTTTCATCTAAAGATAAATATCTAAAAATCCTTACACCAAGAGACATTTACTTGAGAAGTAAGATATTATGCTAGATATTGTGTTGTATTCAGATTCGGATTCAATTTGGAAAGTTTTATGGCTAAAGCAAAAAAAAAGCAAATGGTTTAAAATGTGTTTTTATTTTGTCTTTGATCCAAGTTATTATTTTTTTTATCCCAGTGGCAAAAGTTTTGAATCATAAATATGTGATATATATCAAGTTGCTTAGATATTTAGCTATATTTACTTAAAAAATTCAATTGAAGAGAATAAGGTTTACTAGTACAAAATTAGAATTGCAAAATAAATAAGTAAATAAACAGAGATATTTAAATTTATATACACATACAGACACTTGCTTTAAAAGTTTGGTACAGTACAATTTTTTCATGTGTTTGAAAGTCTCATGCCCACCAAGGCTGCATAGTTTAAAAGAACAGCATTTATTTAAAATAAAAATCTTTTCTAACATTATAAATGTTTTTACTGTGACTTCTGATCAATTTAGTGCATCTTTGCTGAATTTATTTCATTTATACATAATATAAATCTAATAAACAAATGAACAAAAGCACTTCTTGCTCCTTACCAGGAGACATAGTCTTCATATCTTTAGGGAATTTTCGACAAACGCTATTGTAGTTGGTGCAGATGTGATGCAGACACCAGGCAGAGAGCTGTTTGGCATTGTGGAACTACAGCAGACAGAAAAGCAGAGTTGGCACAGCGTGATTTCTCTCAATGAGGCTCATTTGAAAAGCAAAGTCTGTTCATCCTTTGAACTAGAATAAAGTAGGCTATGAATGAATGGTAATTCTGTAATGTGCGCCATTGGTTATATTGCCACTTCATTACTCAGGGCATTCTATTAAAGGCTTTGTTTGCTTCATCTTTATTAATGTTACCTGAGCCATCTCCAGATAGGCCAGCACATGGCCATCAACGTCCACCCCTTTAACGGACAACTGCAACAGCTCCTCAACGGCATGTTGCTCTGTAGACCATGGCAAAACACCACACAACAAGTGTTAATATGTCAGCCATGAGGCTTAATGGTTAACAATTTGCAAAATACTCCATAACAACAAAATCGTCAACAGTGAAAAATTTCTCACCTTCACAGGTGCATTTTTAGATAATATTTAGCTGTAGATAACATTTATTTTTGTTTATTTATTTTGCTAGTTAGCACCATGTCTAGTAGCTTTGATGAGTTTAAATGCTATCATCTGTAATATTAACCAACATTTGGCTCACAAATTCATGCTGAAAGTATAAGATCTCAGATTATTTTCCTCTCCAGGCCCATTAACCACAGAATTGTACAGTGGTTTTTCAAGGTATACTGTCTGCCTTCGGGTAAACATAGAGCCATTATTGAAACCTACCTGTTAGAGCTACAAGGCGGGGAAGACAGAGGCGGTTGGCTAGTATTATAAGGTCCATTGGCTCCAGTTCAAGACAAGGTGTTAACACACCACAGTACAGAAACTCCAGAACGGCTCTCATGCAGGCACAACTGGTGTTGGGGATAGAGACCTAAAAAGAGAAACGGAGCGGCGGTTAGCAAAAAACAGCCTAAATATTTCAAGTTCACAGTTATTAACAAAAGCCCACGTTGAGAAAAGTTTGTGTGAAAAGATTTCATAACCGTACTGTTACTTCCTCTACAGTCAAAAATCTGGGTGTTATATTAGATAGCAACTTGTCTTTTGAAAATCATATTTCCCATGTTACAAAAACAGCATTCTTCCATCTTAGAAACATTGCCAAGAAAAGCGCCGTACAAATAAACTTGAATTTAATTGAATAACCCGTGCTGAGAAATGTTTATTCATAGCTCATCTCCAGGACATGGAAACTCGAGAGGCAGATTGATCCAGGGATGAAACAATCTGCTCAGCACCTCTCCCCTATTGAGACCTGCATGGTCCTGGCCGCTGACCATTAGAGGAGGCCTTCGTGTTGACATGACAGGACCCAAAGTGGCCAAGGAAGCGGTTAGAAAGGGATGAACGTATCCAGAAAGGCTCGTGGAGGAAGGGGCCTGAGAGAGCGATAGGAGGGCGAGGACAGTGGCCACCACAAGGGGTCTTTCATCCTTCAGGAGATTAAAGCACTGTGTGAAACCGTTGACAGTCTCAGCTTAAAGCTGTGGAAAAATAACTCTGTGGGCTTGTCGCTACGGGAGACCTGGCCTCTGCATAAACAAGAGCCAACAAGCCAGCCTACAGGAGAGACTGTCATCATATAACAGTGAACACAGAATATGCTTTACAGAAAAAATACACAACATTCAGCAAGACTCTGTTCCCATTTACTGATATGGCAAATTTTGTCACCACCAGAACATATTTAAAACAACCACTTGGTGCACCAATTTATTTATGGTGTTTATAACCTCTTAACTTTAAAAAAATACTGTATTCTTCTGCTTTTAATGAATGGATGTACATCATATTAGTACAAGGCCACATTATCTTTCAAAAGTTTGGGGTAAATAAGATGTTTTTAAAGAAAAGACAGTGAAGACAGTTTCATTATGACAAATAGTTTGTTCTTTCTTAACTTGTTAAACTTTCTTAGTTTGTTCTTTCTTAACTTCCTATTCATCAAAGAATCCTGATGAAACACAAAAATGTCAAGCATTGATAATAATAAGAAATGTTTCTTACGCAGCGAATTAGTATTTTAGAATGATTTCTGAATTATGTGACACTGAAGACTGGAGTAATGATGCTGAAAACTCAGTTTTGCCATCACAGAAATAAATTACGTTTTAAAATATATTAAAACAGAAAACCGTTATTTTAAACTGTAATAATATTTCCTAATTTTGAAAGCATTATAATATAAAATCTTACTGACCCCAAACTTTTAAACAGTAGTGCATTTCACAAATACAGTGCAATCCACTTTTATCGTCCTTCACAGAAAGTTGCAATTGTTGTGCCATTGTAATGTCATGGTGTATTTAGGAGCATACATGACACTGTGAGGTCCCTGGAGGCCACATGACTTAATCTGCCCACATCCAACACCATTCATAACCAAAATCACATAAACCCAAGCTTAAAGGTAGAAGTGCTGTTGTTTTGACTCTGCTTTGGCTGGAGGGTGGAGAGCAAACAAAAGCATGCTTATTCTTTCAGCTCCAAGGAACGGCCAAGGAATTAAGGGAGAGCTTTCAGCAGGGACACAAAGAGGAAAGTGCAGAGACTGTGAATCAACCCATGGCAACCTTCTCCTTATGCCGTCGCCATGCTCAGACTAAGCAGTTATTCCTCTGTGAATTAGGACAGGATGCAATGGATTTAATTGCCTCTAGTATTACCCTGCGTGAGGACTGAACACTTACAGGGTGCAGATGCTTATAGCAACCTGGAAACCACTAGCACTAGCATCTTGTGAAGGGATTTGTCCAATCACAGGCAAACATCTTTATAATGTTTCAAATAATATTGATCACATACATCCAATTTAGGAATGACTAGACAGTTCCACTTACCCTAAACTGCACCGACCTTCTGCTTCTTGCTTAGTGAGTTGTGCGGTAAACTGATCTTAAATGCATCAAACCACAAAAACTATCACAACAGAATCTGTACTGCTTCCGCCACATGAGTAGGAGGTTGTGGGAACAACGACCGCAAGCTGACACAGATTCTATAGGTCAGAGATGGTACATTGGGGGGTGGCAAGATGACGCTCAGCGGTACCTCTGAAGCCTAGCGGTGCCCTTCACCTGTCTGTCTCAAAGCCAATTAACAGAATGTCAGTGTGAATATGACCGTTCATTATGGCTAAAGGGCAGACTTAAAAGACGCAGAGGGGACACAGTAGGCAACTTCCTATTAAAACCTAAAGATAACAATAGTGCTGTGAGTGAATGGAAATTTTGTCTCAATCCTCTAAACACAAGCAAACAAATCCAAACACATCAAATTCTAGATTTAGCAGGCACAAGTAAAATAAAAAGTATATATATACTGTATATATAAGACTGTTTAATATGCATTCAATAGTTCTGTGCTCATTAAAAAAATTTAAATTCTTAAGAAATTCTTTCTTTTTCATACTGATCCGCGTTGATAGATGGCAGTGCATCATCTAACACCACTGAGATGTCAGTACTTAAAGTATATGAAGAACAGCAATGCTTATGCTAGCCGGAGAACTACTGAATGCACCATTAAATGTAATCTTTAACAAACTGCAAAATAAATATCCTTTTCATACTGAACTTGATACCTAAATCCACTAGTTTTTAGTGTTTTATTTTTAATTGACCGGAATTTCAATTAAATGGTGATATTAATATGCTGTGTTAATTTGCTGTTTCTTGGAAGAGGAAGAATTGAGAAAAACAATGCAACTACCTTGAGAAGAAAATGGGGTCAAGACCCAAGGGAATGTGTGTTACAGAGGAAGTGGTCACCTATCAAAAGCAACCAGACTCTTTCTCATCAACTAACAAGTTACTGCAGTGTACACCGCAACCGCAGTCTCCGCCTTCATCGTCTCCGTTTTCACTTCATCTTTGTCTCATGGGGAAAATGTGACAGCTTCTCACATTTGAGCTTCCGCTCGGTCTTGCGCTAATCACACTCAGAAGTATGATGTTGCTGAAAGGAATTCTGGCACCTGAGCGTCTCCCGTTTGTTCAGACACTTCCTGCCTTAAAAAGCAGCATGTTCAAAACAACAGAGATAGACCAGCAAGACTTACTGAAGAGTGTACTCACATTGAGCTCATGCAACGTAAACGTACAACACAAAGAGACCTATAAATAACATTCAGATACAGAAGCGGTGTAGATGTCATATGGATTTTTAAAGTCGTCTTCAGTAATAAGTATGTGCTGCCTAACCTCAAAAACCTTGAGAGATATTTCTGCACAGGACTAGAATAGTAAAGCTTACATGTGGTAGATCAATCAAGGACAACTCTTGACTCTGTGCGTCACAAACTGAAGCAACAATAATGTGCAGCAATAGACAAGAAACATTTGAGTACAGACTCTGAAAAATCCACTTATGGGCGAACGATCAGCTTTACTCAACTGAATGACACTTTATAAATATTTGCCACCCTGAGGTCTTGCAAGGGCTTTATATCTGGTTATACAACACCTTCTGTGCCGACTGCTGCACAGACAGTGACAAGGGCTCACTCTATTCACAAGCTCATTCTAAAAATAGCACAGTGTTCACTACAACCAGTCGCTACAATGCCTACTGTGCCAGACTGGAGGAGATGAGGACCAAGTCATTTGGCCGCTCTTTGCCTTGCATCATTACGGTAATGTATGGAACAGGCTTAGTTTTTTTACATTTACAAAGCCCACTAACACTTCTAAAGTGATTGCTGCTCAGGTGCCAAGAAAGAGGCACCAGAGGGACGATTTTGGTAGAATACAAAGAGTTTAAAAAGAAAAAAGAAACTTGGTTGCTATGAGTCAATAACCAAACAAACCAATCTCTCCCTCCTTGTGAACTCTTGTTTCTTATGAGATTTCTACTGAAAACACACCAAAACATCTATGCTCTGTGCACAAGAGACAAAAAAAGTAGCACCGCCTCAAAGATAGTTACTGTACTCACTAATACCAAAATAGACATTAAAGGGATACTCCACCCAAAAATAAATGATCTCTCATTTCCTAACCCTGATGTATATGACTTTCTTCCTTCAAATGAACACAGAAATTTTTAGAAAAATATATGTGTTCATTTGAATACATCATATATGTGTTCATATACTTGTGTCCATATAAGTCACTTTGAGTCCATATAATACTCGTGAATAAGAGCCTTAAAGTTGACACTTAAAAAAACACACAAAACAAACACGACAGTAATCCATAAGACCAAATTGATGATTCAATGTCTTCTCAAGCTAAACTAAAGTGGTGTGTGGTCAAAATACTAATATTTTCAACTTTTATATACCTCTATAAATGAACACTTCTGGCCAACTGTCATATGTACATTCGTTTGATGTGAACATCAGCACATTGTGAAGCGTGATGCAAGCGCACTGTTAAATTTGTAAAAGTAGTGACGGTCCTCTGCACTTCCACGCTGTTTAGTATTTATTAGTATTTTTCTCACACAAAACTCTAGTATGCTTCAGAAGACATTGATTTATCAACTGGGGTCTTATTGACTGCCGTCGTGTTTGTTTAGTGTGGTTTGTGAAATGCCAGCTTTGAGGGTCCCAGCAACTTGCGTTATATTTTTATAAAAATGTCTGTTTGTGTTCATCTTAAAAAAGAAAGACATATACATATAGGATGGCATGAGGGTAAGAGAATTAGAATTTTTGGGTGGAGGATCCATTTAAAATCAAACCTTGTTATGCTATTATACTCCTTAAAATTCAACGCTTGAGCAAAGAGCATGTCAAGCTCGTCAAAGCAGAACCAAGTTTACTTGTCTCTGGCCACCTTGTGTTGATCTCTATGTGACATACTCTCAGCCGATGCTGTCAGAATAGAAAAGCAGCCAGCATCCTATTTCCCGCATCAGTTTGTTCTTGTGCTGTAAATCTAGCTCCCTGTAATGCTTGTAATGTTATACAGGGTGATCCTTTTCACCGGCAGGCCTGGACACTTATAACTCTCAGCCTCTGGTGTTGGTCAGCTTGGTCCCGAGTTCCTGCCCTTAGGGAGCTTGTCTTTCTAGAACTTGAGCTGACAGCCGGTAGCCCAAGGAAATCAGAGAGCGTGCACGGGATAGACCTGGATAGAGTTATGTGCGGGTGAGATGGGCCTCCGAAAGGAATACAGCGAAACCTTACCTTTGACACCTGACTTAATAGTTCTGGATGAAAAATACATGAGCTAAATTTATGCCAAGAAGAAACTGTGATATGTTAGAATAATTCCATAGAAAACAAGTGTAAATCAAATTAAAAACTGTGTGGAATGGTTATCATGTGGTTTTAGTTAAATACCACTTTGAGACCAAAAATCTATGAAAGGTTCACACACAAAAACTTCCTGTACACGTTCACATGATGGTGCTGAGGAAATGACTAGAGGAAGTGCCCAGTCTAACAAACTTCCTGTCACTATAAACTCAGCAATGCACTGAAACACACACAAAGATGTGAGTGTGTTTTGGTATGAACACGTGCATAATCTAAAGATATCATATCAATATATACTGTATATCAACTGCTGTTTTGCAAAAGCAAATTACATGACAATGAAATAAGCATAATACAGACTGAAAATAATTACCTGATCTAACTTGACCAGAAAAATGTATTAATATATATTAATATAACTCTAACATGATGTCAAAACTAGTCCAAATCCTAAATTTGCTCTACAACCTCAATCGCTGCAAATAAATCTTTCTAGACCCCTTCTAGTTTGCCTCTCTTGAATATGGGAGCACAGACACAAAGCAGATATATCTCAGCATGTGTTCCCGCTGGCACAGGACCTCCTCTAAAGTCTCAGCATCAGTCTGCCTGGAGCACTCTCCTCAGAGGCCTGTTTAGTACTGCGGGGCTGTTAATTCATCCATATGGATGAGATGGTCTCCTGTCGCAGCTGCATCAATGTGGGTCAGGCTGTCATAGAGACGGCCTAGTTTTAACTACCTGTGCCACTTTTTTAGTGGGATCTGTCAGAGCTCCAGGGTAGGAAGGATCAAGGTGACTGAGACTAATAGTACTTTGTATTAGTACTTTGTGGTTCCATAAATAAGTTTAGGTGAAACTTTGAGAAATGTGTTGAGCCTAAATCAAACCCATATGACGTAGACCACTGATGTCAAAAATACTGGTACTTTGGTATTTAGTCAATGCTTAGAGAACAGAACCAATAGAAAAATGCTTGGTTTGAAAGTTGCCTTTATGCATACGCTACACTCTTGACAATGGACAGTTTTAGTCTGCAAATTCGTCTTATTGCACAATTAGTTTTTTTTTTCGTCTGTCAGTGCAGTAACACAAAATAGACTTTTGCAGACTAAATTTGTCCGTGCAAAAAAATATATGTATATATACTGTGTATGTGTATGTATATATAGCATAGATAGTGCCTTGCTCTTGCTTTAATGAAATATGAATCACTAAAATCTCTGATCACCTCCTCAATGTAACTCTCCATGAAGGATCCACGAAACATGGCTGCCATCCAATCACAGCTTGAGATGAGCAGTGGCTTGTGGGCTGGCAGATATCCGTCGTCCAATCGAAACACCACATCTAAAACCGGGAGGAAAAGAGCACACAGCTCGGCGTGTGTCACAGAGTCGAGGCTACAGAGGGGGAGACAGGTGGACGGACGAACACAGAGACAGACGAAGAGACAGATAGACACATAGACCAATAATAAATAGACAGATTGACAAGGCTAAGGATAAGAAGACAGAAAATATGAAGGGAAGGCAAGACTGGGACCATATAGTGGGCAAATTTATTTTAGCAGCAAATTCTTTAGAGACATGGATGACTCCACGAGTTCACTGTGGCTCACTAACTTTGTTAAAAAACAGATGATGTTGGACAGGTTGTTTAGCAGTATGCTGTGGGTATCAGGAGGGCATGATGGGAAAAAAGCACCTAATTCAATTCAATGCAGATTTCTACTACTGCAAATAAATCTCTAATGATTCAGTTTATAAACTTCTGCATACCCATAGGGAATGTACAAGTAGTCTTCAGGCCACAATGGAGATGAAAAACGTTATGTTTTTCAAACATGAGAGAAGTACCTTCATGGTTGGGTAATGAGATTATGACAATTGCAGATGATGCAATGAAATAAACAGGTGTAAGTGGAGAATAAAGGAGTGTTGAAAAAGGTTAATTATGACAAACATGCACACAACACACAAGACGTGACATCAACAGAGAGTAAGCGACACAGAAACCACAAAGCAGAAAAGCAAACACGTCCACAATATGCAAATATTCACTGACAGCAATGAAGGGATATTTTAAAGCACTCCACTGGGTATTTCCTTAAAAACAACAAAGAGACTGAATGAAGGAAAGGAAATACAAATGGACTGTTCTAGAGTATGAACTATTCTATTTCAATTCCACTGAATTCTGGAATTGAAAATAGAACTCATGAGACTTAAGTCAATGGTGTCACTACAAAAGCCTTTAGAATGTGACACACTGACAAGTAATAGAAATTAACTACCCAATAACACCAGAACTTCCTGAAGAGTCTGCACTAAACAAATTAGGACAGTTAATTAGACAAAAAATCAGTGAGAACTGTCCATTCATTTATCATTCCCTCAACAACAGCAGCTTTTAAGTTGCTTGGTAAAGGTTATTTTTGTTTGGAGAAAAGGCTTGATTCAGCTTCTCGCTGTAAAAGGATAGAACAACAGATAGCAGGGTAATTTATCAGGATACGATAATTACAATTTGCCAGGACATTTGGGTCACATTTGGGTTTCCTTGTATGCATTGTGTTCTGGTTGTTAGATAGATCCGACATGAATGCTTCTTCACATAGATATATATAATACATAATGTTTGACCCTGATTTCAGATTGCCTACCAGCAAAGGTGCCCTTGCTCAGGCACTCTTTGATGCGGTTGGCACGACGCACATGGAAGGCTTTGGTGATCTCTTGGTTCATGAAGCTCTCACGGTTCAGGACGTTGGCCACCATCATACGAAGGTCGAAGACCTCCAGAAGCTCGGCGATGGTGGCCACCTGCATCAGATCCCCACGTGTCTCATCCAGGTGACCCGTATAAAGGTACTGCAGCACTGCCTGAAAAAGCAGAGTTAACAGGGATAACAGATAATTTGACACTGTCATAGAAACTTTATAGATATATCGATTGAGAATCTTATTAAACATGCTATCGATCGTGTCACTTAAGTTTGTTCTTACCTGGAAAGGCCCTTTCTGAATAAGATCATCCATTGACACTACTGTCATGAGTCTCGGCCGACCTGTCACAGGGTCATCCACCATCTCTAGGTATACCCCCAAGAAACCACGCCCCCATCCCAAAAGAGCACGGCCTGCTCCCAGGGGTCCTATAGAGGGCTGGCCCCTGGCAGGCAGAGCGTTATCGCTCTGTGAAGTCCTCAGTGAGCCTTGCAGTAACATGAGCAGCCTATCTGAACCCCTAGTGCCTCCTTCACCCTCCTTATCAATGTCCAGGCTCTTGGTACGCCCAGCCTGCTCTTTGGCTCCTCTTCGGCTTTGTTCCTCTTCCTCGCTTCCCTCTGAGCTCTCCTCACCCTCCTGCTCCATCCCTGCCTCTCCAAGATCCATAGTGAAAAGGTCATAGAACTTTGAGCAGGAAGTGGCCAGGTACACCTTATGGGCAAAGACATGAGTGGCCCCGGCCTGCAGGAGAAACAGGACGTCTGCACACAACGGTTGGCAGAAAAGAGAGTCTGGACCTTCTCCATCAATGGAAGGAGGATCAGGGATGCCCACCACAGGTCGTGGTGGTCTGGGAGGAAGAAAGGGGGCCTGGAGGAGGGGACGCTGAACCTTCTTTAGATGGGACTTCCAGAACTGAAGGTGGCGTCGAGAGATGAGCGCAGCACGGATAGCATTGTCAAACACATCCTTTACACCGAACTGAGCGACGATGCTTGTTTCATAATATGGAATGCCAAGTTCCTTAGCGACCTCATGGCCTCGTTCTGGGGGAAGAATGTCTGTGGGCTTGATGGGTCTAAGAGGAGAGAGTTGAAAAAAAAGGAAAGCATTATTAAAGCCAGACAGAATATATACACTACCATTCAAAAGTCTGGGTCAGTAATATTTTTTTAAATGAAAAAAAAAAAAAGTTTGGTGAGTCTCTTATGCTCACCAAAGCTGCATTGATTTAATCAAAAATACCGTAAAAACAGATATTGTGAAATATTATTACAATTTAAAAGAAGTGTTTTCTATTTTAGTGTATTTTCAAATTGAAATTAATTTTGAGCAGCCAATTCTCCAGCCTTCAGTTTCAGACGATCCTTCAGAAATCATTCTAATATGCTGATTTGATGCTCAAGAAACATTTCTTCTTATTATCTGTTCTCTATTATAAGTGTTAAAAACCGTTTTTCTGCTTAATATATTTGTTGAAACTGTGATACATTGTTTTAGGATTTTTTGAAAGTTTATTTATTGTAGATAGAAATCTTTTGTAACATTATAAAAGTCTTTACTGTCAATTTTCAGACACAGATCAGTTCATTTAATCAATTTTGATTTAATGCATCCTCGCTGAATAAAAGTATTCATATTTTAAAAGTATTATTATTATTTAAAAGTAAAATATATCTGATTCTTTTTCATTTTCTAGATTTAAAAAAAATATATAATCAGATTTGTATTCTATGTAAATGTATCCATTTTGTCAATCTAAACTATTACAAAACTGATTTATAGATATATGTTGAATGATATTAGGGCCAATATTTTTAATTAAAGGGATGCCATAATAGCAACAGACTATTAATTTAGATCGGCCTAAGTTATGAGGAATAGCAAAGATGTTTAAAACAGAAAGAATAACTAATTACAAATACTGCCATGAATTTCAATAATTATTTAACAAACTATCCAAACAGCAGCAGCAACATGCCACTGGGAGACTTTTGTCCCAATTCTGAGGGTCTATCTTGAACTTTTCACTTCAAAATAAAAATGTTTGTTCACATATAAACCTAAATTAATTACTATGTCCTCAAATCCATTATTAACAATAAACACAGAAAACTTCTAACAGCCAAAATAACTTACATTTGCAGAACTGACTACAAACGTAAAAGCACAATAACAATACAATAACCCTCGCAAAACGGAAGCCCCTGAAAACTTTTCATGCTGAAGTTTAATAACAGAATATGTGCTACGAGTGGGTGTAGGATGTGGTCCGTACTTGGCCAGAGGCCGGCGAGCCCTGTTAACAGCGTCCAGATCAGCATAGCGCAGGTCCAGCTGGCAGCCCACCAGGATGATCGGGGTACGGGGGCAGAAGTGCTTGATCTCAGGGAACCACATGGTGCGAACATGGCGCAGGGAGTTCGGATTGGCCAAAGAGAAGCACAGCACTACCACATCTGATCTAAACACACAAAGAGAAAGAAATCGGTTTATTTTAAGAGAATACATCCGAAGAAATCATGTAATAGGCAGGAAATTGGCAAACCCTGGACACTAATCATCCTACACAGAGTGGACAGTGAATCACTGTTTTTGGAATAAAAACTGTGAAATGCAACAAATAATCATAATCAGTCTTTTGTGAAATGAAAACCGTGGTAAGACCATTTTCCCAGAGGCATGAACAAACTTCATGAAGAAACAGTGAGTGAGCGAGCAGCCAAATAGATTAATGATTGTTAGATTGTGTGTGTATTAATGCATGTGTGCTCTTCCAGTGAATGTGTGAGCACACAAGGTGTTGTGCAAGTCATTAAAGCATCTTGTCTGACTCAATAACCAGTGCTGGTCGTATAATAGCGAGATGTCCGAGCATGTCATATTTCACAGCTGCACTCACAAGCTCATCATGTGAGACCAGCATACACAAGAATGACTAATGGAGCACCGCATTGTTGTTGAAATGTAAACAGACTTGGTCTAGCAGATTTTATCACAGTTATGCATTTACATGGTGCTCATGTGCATGTTTATAGATATAATATGACAGCCAATGTTTCTCAGACAACATTTCTAAGATATTTTCTAAAGTTATAATCTTTCTAGAAAATACTTATTGATAAATAAAGTGAAAATCTAGAGGTACTTTCTCAAAAAAGTTGTTTTATTATTGGCAAACACCTCATGTGTGATGATTAAACAAAGGAATTTCCTGAAAACATAAAATTACCAAAGTGGACCATTATAACATGTTTACTTCCTTTGGAAATACTTGATTTTTTCCATGTATGATAATGTTAGCATTGCAATAGGATTGCCCATATTTGCCCATTCCCATGTTTTTGAAAACATTATAAAAAAGTGATTCCAATGATATCGTTCCTCTAGTTGTGATGTGGACTCTGCTATACTTAGAACCATTTTTAAAACGATATCTTTATTGTTATAGTTATCATGCTTAATGTGAATGGGCCTTAAGTCTCTTTACTAAACTAAGACACACTAAGGTACATGTGCAAATAAACCTACAGTCTCCAAGGGTCAAAGTCGACATCCCAGTGTCTGTGTTTTTGCTGGTGTATGTATGTGGGAATGGGAATGTTTGCAAGAATATGTGGAAATGGGTCAGAGTTAAGGCAAATAAAAAAACAAAACACAGACTAACACATCTGCAGATCTATCCACAACCATTCACCATCTCTCAGTGAATAATAACCACTTGTGCTGTAGAAGCGAGTGCTGAGGGTCATAAAGGACTGTGTTATGTAATCAGTGCGTGTGGTGTTCTGTAGAGATATGTAGAGCATGTCTAAGTTCAAACTCCTGACTGTGTGTCTGCTTGACTACACTAGTGTAAACAGTGTCTTGATCACAGACACATATTTAAATATATAAATAAGTCTAAACATTCTGAGAACAACAAAGAAGACAAAAAGCATAGTACATTGATGGTATAACACGGTAATTTAACATTGATTTATCTGTTCAAAATGACCTTTTTGTATATATGCATGCATGATGCATATATTTATGTATAAATATGTGTTAGCCCATGGGAGCAGGGCTTCCCCGCTGAGTCATGGTTCCTCCAGAGATTTCTAAATAAGTTTCACAATGTGTTTTGTCAATTCCCGTTCACAAATAATTAATGGCCTCAGCTAGGCTTTAATAAACATTTTCTAGAAATGTTAAATGTGTCTGTGTGGGTGTGTATTTAGCTTAAGTAATAACCACCAGGGGTGAAGGTCACCTGATTTTGTGTTTCCATAACAGGGCACCACCATTAATAGTGCTTTATCAGCTGACTGCATCTGCCTCAGTACTGTGCACACACACTGGACGTGTCTGATCTCACAGACACACATCCTGTGGATTCATTCACACAGATTTCTCTGTCTTCCGCTCTCTTTCTCTCTGTCTGCCACACAAGTACATACTACAAACACACCACATTCACAATGCTATTACATTGTTAAATTATTGGATGAATTATATAATCAAAACCTTAGTTGTCAGGACCTCTTAGTCTACCAAGTACACTGCTGTTCAAAAGTTTGGTGTCAGTAAGATTGAAATGAATACTTTAATTCAGCAAGGATGCAATAAATTGATCAAGAGTGACAGTAAAGACATTATACAACAGATTTCTATTTCAAATAAATGCTGTGCTTTTAAACTTTTTATTCATCAAAAGTTCCTCAAACCACAAATATATAAAACAGCACAACTGTTTTCAACAATGATGATAATAAAAAAATTTTCTCAAGCAGCAAATCAGCATATTAGAATGATTTCTGAAAGATCATGTGACACTGAAGAATGGAGTAATGGCTGCTTTTTTCAAAAACATTAAGACATTTTACAGACCGCAAACCTTTAAATGGTAGTTTATCTGATGTGTGGGTATTTTGTGTGGTCAAAGATCTGAGCTGGTAACACAAAATGCCACAGGTTAATAGCATTTACTGAAAAACACTTATGATTAAGAAAAATGTATTTGAGGGAATCTCATACATCTGCTAAAAAGTATTTAAAAATTACTCTAATTGCATCAGATATAGCATAATTTGTTTGCAGATGCCATGTTGTTTTTTGATATTGTTTATTTAGTGCAACGAGATTCCTATATTTGAAGTGTGACTTAGATGTTCAAATACTTCTGGGAAGCACTGTAAGAATTTAGGAACAGTGTCAATCTCCCTCATTCTCTGACCCCATCTCCCTTTTTGGCTCAGCGGCTACTGTGATCTGCTGCACTGTCCTGAGCCAAAGCACCACTGCTGATCCACTGATCCTCCGCTGCGCTGAGAATAAGAGCCTCCACGCAGTGCTCTTTGGCTAGGCTTACAGCACATTACCTTCACAGCTGGGAGGATCAGGGCAATAACCAAACCTTGGCAGGGCAACACATGCCACAGCCAATAGTGGAGAGACACCAGAACAAACAAACAGAAGATTGATCTGAGGAACTGTATTGTGGGACGTCAAGTGTTTGTGTATCAAGGGGTTTAGTGTGCCATGGCCTAGTGGTTAACACACATGCCATGACACTGAGCACTATGAGTTCAAATCCAGCTCCATATTGTGTAACTGACCTGCCATAAGCGAAGCGTCTATCTTTGTGATGATCTCCAAATGTGTCCCACAGCCTGAGGGAGACACTGACCTCGTCCACCACATCTCGTGACCTCTCCAGCACCTAGACAAAACACTTTTGTTTAATTGTACCAGTACACCAATGCAAACACATTATATTCATACTACTGTGCAATGTAATACTAAGTAAATTAAATTTTAAATACAATTCTTATTTTAAATATTTTATTAGTATATTTCATTTTATATTCGTTTTAATGAGTTTAATATGTATAATTGCACACAACACTTACAAATGCATATACAAATAAATTATATATCTCACAAAATGTGTTACTGTATAAATACACTGCTGTTCAAAAGTTTGGGATCAGTAAGATTTTTGATGTTTTTTAAAGACAATTCTTTTGCTTATAAAGGCTGCATTTATTTGATAAAAAATACAGAAAAACAGTAATCTTGTGAAATAGTATTACAATTTAAAATAAAGGTTTTCTATTTTAATATACTGTAAAACATAATTTATTCATGTAATGCAAAGCTGAATTTTCATCATCCATTACTCCAGTCTTCAGTGTCACATGATCCTTCAGAAATCATTCTAATTTATTAACAATATGCTGATTTATTATTAATGTTGGAAACAGTTGTGCTGCTTAATATTTTTTTTGGAACCTGTGATACTTTTTTCAGGATTCTTTGATGAATAAAAAGTTAAAAAGAACAGCATTATTCAAAATATAAATCTTTTCTAACAATATAAGTTGTTACCATCACGTTTTATTCATTTAATTCATCCTTGCTAAAAGAAATTATTAATTTCTTTTCAAAAAAGAAAAAAAATTACTGACCCCAAACATTTGAACAGTAGTGTATATTATTACAAAATATTTATTTTTTAAATAAATGCTGTTCTTTTTTACTTTTTATTCATCGAGGAATCCTGAAAAAAGTATCACAGGTTCCAAAAGAAATATTATTAAGCAGTAAAAACTGTTTCCAACATTGATAATAAATCAGCTTATTAGAATGATTTCTGAAGGATCATGTGACACTGAAGACTGGAGTAATGATGCTGAAAATTCAGCTTTGCATCACAGGAATAAATTATGTTTTAAAATATATTAAAATAGTAAACCGTTATTTTAAATTGCAATAATATTTCATAAAATTATATATATCAAATAAATGCAACTTTGGTGAGAAAAAGAGACTTCTTTAAAAAACATTAAAAATCTTTCTGATCCCAATCTTTTGAATTGTAGTGTATACATATATATGTGTGTGTGTGTGTTTATTTATTTATATTTTACAATACATACTCCCCCCCTCTTTTTAACTATTTTATATAAACTAAAGTATATAAATACACTCGTTAAACAGGTTGTACTCCACTGTAATGTTTATATGTATTTTTCTATTTGACTGTAACTTTTCCATTACAATGTCAGACTTCCGGCAAATGAGATGTACATTATTTATGTCAACACTCAGTGCTCTTCAACATGTACACAATATGCCAAAGGTCTGCCCACCTCCTGGCACACACGGTATTGGTCGATGGCCCAGACAGTTGGCACGTGGGTGGCAAGCAGCTGGTACTGAGTAAGGGTGGTATTGCAGGCACGGGCACAGATCAGTCGGGTCTTGCCCACCGCGTTATCACCCACCACCACACACTTTATGGTCTCCACATTAGGTCGCTCATAATCTGTGTCTATATCCATGGAGAGGGCCCTGAAAGACAGAGAAGGAGAGAGATCATTTCAGTGATGATAATCATCATTGCATTGATGAAAAACATGACAAAACTCACTTTCCATTTATGTTTAACTGAGAATGAATAAAAAAAATTATAATAACAAGAGTTACAAAACATTCAATTCGGTCCATTCACTGTGGTGACTCAAATCAACGTCCACAATAATGAATGGCGTCATCAATACTGACTACTCATTCACCAAATGTTCAAAGTTTAAAGAAAAAGCTATTTCTGTCTGAGGAAGGAACAACAAAGACAGTCAACACAGTTCTGCACTTGGCTGTACAGCGTTTCAAAGTGTTTGAGTTTCAAAGTCAATGTGAACAAGTGCATCTAGTGCATTTTTTGTTTTTTTTTAAAGTCTCAGAAGAATCCACCTGAAGCTAACTGAATGTTGATTTGTATGAGAGAACACAGCTAAACCAGAGAGCATTAATACGCATGCTTTTCCCAGGCTACTGAAACAAACAGCGTTAACACAAACACTCACATAAACACTGACTTAAACCTGCTAAGTATCAAGACTGCAGCTCTCTGCAGAGAAAAGAAGAAAATAAAAACAACTCTGCTGAGGGATGCAGCTGAAACAAACCATTAGGAGACCCGCGTGCCAACACATATGACTGTAACTTAATATCCATGACAACTAGCAAGTTCTCTTTTAGGTTCAAACAAAAGCAAGCAATGTGAGATTGCTTTTTTTCCCTAAAACAATGACAGATTTTTGTTGCGTAATGAATGCAGACATTTGTTCGACAAGCTGAACTGCCTTGCTTCAGAGAGTCACATAAATTTGAGCATGTGAAAACAAGAATCAATATTAATACACCACTATAATAAAAGAGGCCATATGAAATTAAATACAAATGATTTTGGGAACCGTAACTCCTCTGTGGCTTTAAAAGTGGATTGAATTACCCTTGGTAAATGCACTAAAAGTGTACCGAGCCACACAAATCAATTAGCTTTCCTGGAAACAATAAAGAATTTCCTTGAATAAACACACAGGCAGAACCCTTGGCCAACTAAGAGCAGTGTATTCTTTTGATACAGCTAAAGTGATACAGCTATCTACATTACAAGCCGTCCTGAGCTCCGCTGTCCAAGTCAGCTAACGTTCCATAAAAAGAGTTCATGAAAGATTAATGGAGCCACTGTTTATTGTTCCACTGACAAAGACGTCACACAGTTCTGGCCTCCAATGACATACTGGGGTCAAAAAATGATTCTCATTCATTCAATTCATTCTGAGTAGCAAGGTGCCAATTCTGACCAAGATTAGCAAACTCAAAAATGTCCCGTAATAGGTAAAGAGACGTTTTATCTAGAGCAGCGGTGCTCAGTTAATTCCTCGTGAGGGGAATGTAACAGCCAGCTTTGAGGTTTTGGATCAGTGAAGGAGGTTTCAGAGAAATGTTGTCAGTGGTAAGGGTGCTCTGGAGGAAGCTTCTTTCACAGGTTACATAACAATGGTGGCACAACGGGCTGATGAAACTGAGCTGTAAATGTTACTACATCTTTGTGTTACCTAACAGTAATCTTTATAACTGTTCTGTGAGAGTCATCAACATTTATAGAGGATGTTATAAAAGTGAAGATTATTATGACTGCATATTAAAAATGCTAAAATGATTAAAAACAAATTAGCGGGGAGACCCAACTCTAATTTTTAAAGAAACAGACTTGAGCATGTTTTCTCACCGTGCAAAAAGTAGGGTGGTGGGTACAGAGATGAGAGTGCAGACTTGTGCACAATGTTTCCACTATTTAACTCTATTTTAATATGTTTAAAAAAGCTACATTATCAACTTCTATACATTCAAGGGATATTTTATTGAAAAAAGACAATTTTGTCATCATTTACTCATCGTCATGTCATTTCGAACTTCTATGATTCTTTGGAAAACAAATTTTTGATTTTTATAATTTTATAACAGTACCATTTAAAGGTTTGGGGTCAGTAAGATTTTTTTTAAAAGAAATGAATACTTTTATTCAGCAACATTAAAGACATTTATAATGTTACCACAGATTTCTATTTCAAATAAATGATGTTATCTTGAACAAAGAATTCTGAAAAAAATGAATCACGTATCATTTCCACAAAAATATTAAGCAGCACAAATATTTTCAACACTGATAATAAGAAATGTTTCTTGAGCACCAAATTAGCATATTATAATGATTTCTGAAGGATCATGTGACACTGAAGACTGGAGTAATTCAGTTTTGCATCACAGGAATAAATTACGTTTGAAAATACATTTATTATTTTAATTATTCTAAATTGTAAAAATCAAGTAAATGCAGCTTTGTTGAGTAAAAGAACAGAACAGTAGTGTAATATAACTGATATTCATTAAACAAACAAAAAAAAGTTTGATCCACAGAAGAAAGAAATTCTTACATGATTTAAAGGGATAGTTCTCCCAAAAATGAAAATTTGATGTTTGACACTCCTAATTGAGATTGTAGATAGAGTGTCAATGGTCCATTTGAGAGATAGGTGGCGGTAATGCACTTATAAGTCTGCGATCTGCCGTAAAGCAAGAAGAAGAAGAAGACGCGAGCGGGTGCTCAGGACAATTCAGACATTGCGGTGATATAAAATGATAAATGATATAAATACGGTTCAGTTTCTTGCACAGAGCGATCGTTTCGTGTCTTTACACATCAATGTATCGTCACGAGCCGCAGGGTTTAATTTGGTTTTGTTTGTGTATGTTTTTTTGACTCTCAAAGCCGTAATTCCCATTCACTTCCATTATAAGACTGACAGACTGCAACGGTTTGAGTTAAACTACTGAAAAAACGGTCACCTACATCTTGGATGCCCTGGGGGTAAGCAGATAAACATCAAATTTTCATTTTTGGGTGAACTATCCCTTTAATCAAAATGAGGGTGATTAAATGACGACAGAATTAAAATTTTTTCAGGAACACTTGGTGAGAATGTCTACAAACCAAGTATACCGTTTCCTTTTGTGACACACACAAACACAACAAAAAATGTGTATAATAAAAGCAATGATACCAGAGACATGGTGTCTCATGAAGCTTTTAGCAGAGTCAGTTGAGTGAGTCAGTGTTTTGTCATGAGGAATGAGACGAGCAGTGTGCCACACTAACACTTGTTTTAGTGACAGGCAGTGATAGAGACAGTGGGAGGCAAGGTCTGAGAATGAGCGAGGGAAAGAAAGAGAGAGATGAGACGCGTGGCAGACGCCCACTCCATTCACAAACACTGTACAGCCCACACAACAGTTCGTCTGCTTGTATTCAGTCCTGCCAGCCTCAGTGTGTGTGTGTATCTGAATATGTAGGTAGATAGAGAGAAGAATATCATGGCAAGTGGACCAACTACAACCCACAAGCAAATATGACAGTTAACGAACAATAAACTGGTTTGATAGGCTATAATAACTTATTATAGTGCTCTCAAGCTTTCTTTCTCCACATGTCTTGTGGCAACCACTAAAACTGAAGTATGGATTCAAACTAAATATTTTGAGGATCTCCTCATGAGATAAATCTAAAAAAAAAAAAACTATTTTTCAGTAAGTTTGACTGTCCTTTCCCTCTCTGTACATCTGTCGTTCTAGACAGCCGGGCAACAGAGACTTGCTCACCCCTCCTGCACTGTATGTGTGTGTGTGTGTTACATAACAGCTCCAGTGGCAAAGGCTGCTCTCTCTGCTGTCACATAACCAGAATTCAAGACTAACCCTTGCTCTTAGAGAGCACCTGCAAACCCTTTTTTTGAAACACTGAAAAAAAAAAGAAAATATCCAAATATACACACTAAATCAACCCTAACCGTATAAACACACACACTGGATGTTAACCCCCTGCCTGTCATAGTGACCTAATTTCTGTAGTTTCCGCCAATGCTTCATGCCAAGTGTTTTGCCCCTGAGCGTGTCTGCATGGGTGTTTATAAAGGCATATTTATAAGCATTTATAGAGGGGACATGTAAAGACAGGGTCTGCCATGAGTGTAGACGACTTATGTAACGCGGTGGTCTCCTGCCTGCTGCCAGTAAACAAGTTAAAGTAGAGCAGCGTGTTGCTGCGCACCAGATTTGACACAGTATTTCCCAACCGTTCCAAAATACTGTTCTCTGGTAAGCACTGAGCTAACCAATGCACCACCGCAGCGTAGCACCTTGGAGTGTCTTACACCACATGCCTCTGAACTGCAAAGAGTCAAGTCTTTTAGTGGATCGATCACATTTTATAGCTGGGCCATAAAGTCGTTCAGTGCTGAGTCCTCCAGATCAGAGAATGAGTTAGATCCTTCTCCTTAATGCCATCAGTCCCTGGGGAGTAACAGAGGAATTAACCACTGAAACACTGGGAGATCTACTACTGTGTCAGCATGTTCGATAGCGGTTTCAGTGAAACACATTAAGGGCGTTTTATTTACTTCATATGCAGTGGTCACAAAAAGTGACTGACTGGATGCTTAAGTCACATTTAATGTATGAATGTCTTTGCATTTTATAACAAAATAACAAACCAAGCAGAAATTATTTAAAAGAAATATACCACATATACAAATTTTATAGCAAAACATTAGACAAAAACAAGTTTGTTAGGTTTCAAATGATTAAGTGCACTTGGGTCAGGCATTCGTTATTACAACATGTCACCCATTCAAGTCAGAAACATGACACAGAAGTAGCCTAAAAAAATAAATAAATAAAAAGGTTTATATTATGGACAATAAATCCAAATAACTAAATTCAAAATGCTGCAAATTATTCATTTCTATATATGTGGTGTCAAAACGAAATGTTTGTGTTATATAAAGCAAAGTGTGAAAATCAAGTGATTAACTTTACACTTGTTGTCTGTCAGCTGTTTCGTACATCACACCTTTAAACTGATTAAAAAACAGCATGTAAAATTAAAAATAACTTGCATAATCTTTCATTATAATTCATTACAGGGTTTTTGCTCACTGATCCCTATA